CTTACTCGTAGATCCAGTCATAGCCACAAGACTTGTAGTCCACCAGTTTCTCCAACTTAAGCCAGAGGCTGATTTCTTTGTCGGTGCTTTTGACCGAATCACTGCCATGAATGATGTTCCTGCTAACATGAACACAGAAGTCCCCTCTGATGGTGCCTGGCTTAGAATCTGCTGGGTTGGTCTCTCCCAGTATCACCCGGCCCGTCTTCACCACGTTCAGCCCCTCCCAGACCATAGCCCCATTTGGTCCCCGAGTTCATGTACTTTGCCAGCCCTGGGGAGAAGGGGCGGTCTTTCAGGTCCATGTAGTGCTGCTTCAGGTGTTCCTCAGAGGCCTGAACTAACTTCATGACCACCAGGCAAAATCCTTTCTGCTCAAAGCGCTTGATGATGTCGCCCCCCCCCCAGGCCGCGCTGCATGCCCTCCAGCTTGATGGCGATGAAGGGGCGCTCGCTGTTGGCCGTGGTGCGAGTCGGGTGGGGGGGCGGGCAGCTGGATCCATCACCATCGTCCTTTTGTGCTTCCTGCACCGGTCAGTGTTTTGCACACAGAATCTTTCAATATTGAACCTCGAGGCTTGAATTTTTCCTCAGCTCTTTCAGGTTAAGATATTCTAAGTGTGTTCTTCCCTGTTTGTTTTCTAACTCTGTTAGAAACTGTTTTCTAACTCTATGTACAAACATTTCATATCAGCAGTGAAATTCTTTGTTCCACAATCGCTGTGTATTCTTTTCATCTTCTTTTGATGCTTCCTACATGATTCAGTTTTTTCCATGGACTCTTCCAGTATTGCAACTCAAGCTTGAATTTTTTTTCTTGAGTTCTTTCAGTTTAAGATCTGCTGAGCGTGTTCTTCCTTTGTAGTTTCTAATCTTAGGACTGTTCATATTTCATTATAATGGTTTACTTTGTTTCCTCAAACTGCCCTTGGAAATTTTCTGTTCAGTTCTTTGATATCATCGTTTCTTCAATTTGCCATAGCTACTCTCTGATTAAGAGCAAGTGCCAGGGTCTCTTCTGACATCCACTTTGATCTTTTCTTTCTTATTTTTTTATTTTGTTTCAAATGTTGCTTAATTGTAGAGTAGAGGAGCTTTGGTGGTGTAGTGGTTACATGTTGGGCTGCAATCTGCTTGGTCAGCAGTTAAAAACCACCAGCTGCTCCTTGAGAGAAAGACGGGCTTTCTACTCTTGTAAATAGTTACAGTCTTGGAAACCCACAGAGAGGTTGCCAAGAGTCAGCATCAACTCGATGGCAGTGAGTTAGTTTTTGGTTTAGTGATTGTAGAGAAGTTTCAGAAGTGGCTTTAGGAACAAAGTACTTAATTGTCCATATCCTTATTTCGTAGACAAATGTCATATCTGAGCTAAGTAAATGGAGACTTAATTTTGTTGACTGGCATCGGATGGAAATGAGAAAGGAAAAAGAAAAGCATGCAGCGCAGTTCAAACAACTGTACAACCAGATCAGTGACCTGAAGGAACTGCAGAAAGCTTACGAGGTCTCCACCAGAAGAAAAGATGAGGTCTTTTGATTTTGCTTTGTCGCCTACTTGAACTCCGATAAACACAGAAAGTGCTTCTTATTACTCCACTCTGTTAGCCTCTCAGGAGCTTGGAGGGTGACATTCAAGTCTCTGTGAACGGTGTGTCCCAGCGCCGATGGCTCCCTCCCCCCGCCCCTGTATAGTCTTAACGGCAGGGGAGGCCTTTCTGAAAGGAGGACTCACAGCAGACACCTTGGCCACCTGTCTGCAAAAGCAACACTCAGATATTCCAGTGCAGTAGCTAAATGTTATGTTCTTGTTTTTTTTTATTTCTTTTGGCTTTGTAGGGTATGATATAAAATTGAATACTTACTAAACAGAATTTATTCTCATGAAGTAATGGATTCAAATGTCAACTATTTTCTTTATTACCTCAAAACTGTTGTAAAGTTTTAAAATAGTTCACTTTTTACTTTGAAGTATTACAAAAAGGATATTTGAGGGAGACTTCAAAACATTCATGAAAACATAATTAAAATAATTTTTCTATGAACTTTTGGAAGCCCCTACAAATGTGTCATGATCAGTTTATATAAAGTGCTAGTCCTGTGCCATCACCCAGCTAAGAACTAGACTGTATTACTAAGACTTTAGAGTATGTGCATTTTCACTCCTTTGGGAATTACTTACAAAACAAGAATAAATATATCTCAGTGAATGTGCTAAGCTGACTCAGTCTCTCTTTTTTTTTTTAATCATTTTGTTGGGGGCTTGTACAACTCTTACCACAGTCCATACTTCAACTGAATAAGGCATGTTTGTATATATATTGCCCTCATTCTCTTCTATACATTTACTTTCTATTGAGTCATCGGTACCAGTTCTTTTTTTTCCCCCTTCCCCCCTTCATAGCCCCCTGATAGATTATACAGTGTTATTATTTGACTCGGTCTGTTTTTTATGTGATCATATTAAAATATTTATTTCAGTTATCCTTTATAAATAAGAGAGAATATAAAGTTTTCATAATTTTATAAAGGTCAGATAATATCATTAAATAAGTACATCAAAATCTAGCCATTCATAATTTGCTTTTATAAGTGTGTTGCATACAAAAAATCAAGTAATTATCGGGTTACCAAGGTAATAGCAGGGGCTAGAAAGCGATAATTAAACCCTAATCCCTGCCCTCAAATGTTTTATTAATCCTAAATGGATTAAGAATTTGTATAAGTAACAAAAATTCCAAATGTATAATTTTTTAATGTTAATGACATGTTAATATCTCTGTATATAAGCTGTTGATCATTAGCAAAAGACACATGGCAAAGCTTTCTCTCCCCTCCTTTTCCCGTTTGTTCATTGGTACTCAGTGAATCCAGGTGGGAATTGTTTTCTATGGTAATAAAGATGCTGCTTGGATGTATACAGTAGTGACTAGTAAGTAGTCCATTGTATTTTTAATGTATGAGAAAATCACATCACCAGGTGCTGTTACTGTCACACAACGCATGTAACCAATGATTGTAATTGGGTTCATTGCGTTTGCAGGTGATTTCCAGCTTGTCTCAGGCCATCGGCAAGCAAAAGGAAAGGATCGAGTTGGTGAGGACGTTCTTCCACTGGCGAATTGGCCATGTCAAATCCAGACAGGATGTAAGTAGTGAAAAAAGAGAGGAGATTGTTGATTTCTACATGACAGATGTCTGTTCTGTAAGCCGACCTTGTGAGAATCAAAGAAAATCACGTCTGTGTAACTTTTTAAAAATTATCCTTAGCTTCTGAATATTTTAAAATTGAACACCAATTGTTTTCATTAAATAAGACCTAAATCAGTATGTCAGAATAATGAACTGAGAGAAAAGAATAAACAAATCCCATTTCTACTTTTCAAAAGTAGGGAATTATTAGCAGGTTTTTCCAAAGGAAGATAGGAAAATGTGTGTGTGTGTGCTGTGAATTTCTATGCATTTATTTTCCAAGAGCTTAGTTTGCTATCATGTCCCTATCTGATCTTTTTACTAAAAGCATCATTGAAGCTATACTTAAGAGAAATCTGATATTGTCATGGAATGAGAAGCACCTGCTGACACGGTGGGTTAAGCACTTAACTGCTAACTACAAGGTCAACCGTTTGAGACCCCAGCTTCTCTGTGCGCTGCCTGCCCCCCCCCTCCCCCAGCCGCTGTTACACACAGGAGCACTTCTACCCTGGCCTGTTGTCACTGTGAGTCGGAACTGACTCAATGGTAATATGTTTGGGATTTGGGGTGTTTTTTTTTTTTCATGGAATAGGATTTCTCTTTTAAGAATAGTTGTGGTGTTTTTTGTTTTCATTTTGTGTTAACTCCCTAAGATATATTACAGTAATGATATTAAAATGAGCTGTTTAACAATTAGTATTTTGAAAGTGATTTAAGTTACATAATGAGAATACACACTTATTTTTACATGTTAGCCAGAATAGTTGAGACTGCCATCACTTTTTCAATGGCTTTTCAAGTTTTGGAAAATTAAAAATGGAACTACTTAAAAAAATTAAATATACTGATAAGAGAAAAATAGCCTATGTTCCTATTTGGATCAGCCTAGTACTATGCAATGGCAAGATTTGTGAATTCTTTGCTTAGGGTGGTAGTTACCAAATTAAAGTCAGCAGCTACCACCTTTTTTTTTTTTTTTTTGCCTTCTCTGTATTGTTCTCTTGCTCTAACTTCTAGCTTAAAGGTCAGGCAAATCCCTAGCTCTGGTGGCAAGTGGAGAATTAGTTATTTTCCTTCATTTGGTGTATTGATTTCCCTGTATCTAACTGATCACCAAGCAATGATGTAGGAGCATAGGCTCGAGTCAGGTAAGGCTGGCTATATCCTGGCTCTCTGTAATGCTTCTGTCTGCAAGATGAGAATAACAGGACTATGTGCGATTACATGGTAGCACATAGAAACAGTTTGCCACAATTGTTACTCTCCTGTTAGTTGCCAGTGCGCTGCCCTGTTGAGGTCTGCTCTGACTTCCGTTCAGATTTATGAAAGTAAACTAGCTGACCAGCACTTCCGGAGGACTCTGTTGAAGAAAGTCTGGAAGGCCTGGCACTCCACGATCCAAAGGCAATGGAAAGAGGTAGTGGAACGAGCATGCCAAGCAAGAGCGGAAGAAGTGTGTGTCCAGATATCCAATGATTATGAAAACAAAGTTGCTATGGTAAAGTTCCTTTAAAATTGTTTTGCTTTCCTTTATTAACAGTATGATGGGTTACACCACTCACTGTTAGTTTTAATTTGACAAAGTAGCCCATTTCTTCATCCCTGTCAATGCAGCGGAGATTCAGATGAGACTACTGGGCAAGGGCAACACTAAAAAGACAGACTTACTTATTCCTTTAAATAGTTAAGGCTCTGGCCTCCAAACGCGTGTTGAATATTTTGTATGTACAGTTGACCCTGAGTGACGCAGGGGCTAGCACCCTGAGACCCCTGCACGGTTAAAGCCCAAGTATAACATAGGACTTTCCGAAAACTTGACTAATAGCCTACATTCCTTACTGATAACAGTCAATAAACATGCTGTGCTCATATAAAAGCTGCATTTTCAATACCAGATGAGCAGGTGTTTGTGCCAAAAGTACAAAGCTTTCGTGCCTGTTCATATAGTTGCAGTAGCTCCTTCATGAATTTCCTCGTTTTACACTGACTCTTGCTCTGGATTCATTTGTCTTGAAATGGGCAGACAATGCAGCTGCGAACCTCAATCTGTGATACAGCTTAAGCAATACAATTTTTTTCTTGTAAAGTCAGGGCTTCTTTCTACTTCTTAGAACACTTCCAGCATCACTCGATAGAGGTCTCATGGCGTTGTGCAAGGGTCATGGCATTGCACAAGCAGAGTGAGGACCACAAGAGATCATTGTGACTGCAGTACAGCTTTAACTAGAGAGAGGAACTGTTCATTTGGAGTGAATTGGCATCACCTGGGTTTTTTTTTAAAAAGCCACATATAAGTTGACCCCTGCTGTTCAAACCCTTGTTGTTCAAGGACCAACTGTGCGCTTCTTTTGGAAATATAAATTGCCCACAGATACTAACACTTAAGACATGTAAGTTTGCCTTTATCTGGCTAAAAATAAAGACCAAACCCAAAAATTATCTTCATGTTAATTTATAGACTATGATCTTACAAGATTAATAACAGTTTTATACATACTGAATTATTTTTCCAATTGACTTTTAAGAAAATTAACATTGTTTCCAAGTGAAAACATTTGGGTCCAAAATGAAATTTAAAACATACTGACGAAATCAATAGGCTTCTTGAAATCAAATGTTGAAAAGAAAAAGATGTCATGTTATAGCCCTAAATTCTTAATCTTAAAAATAAGTTTCATGATACTAATTATATTCTTCACTTCAAAATGACATCCAAAATATGCATTCTCTGTATATTTTGGTCTTTGGAAAAGTGTCATGCTTAAAGGCACTTTGGATCTTAAATTCTGTAGCTAGCATTCAAAAGAGAAAAAAAAATCTTTCAGGCATTTAGTCATTTTTTTCTAAAGGGTTGAAAGTTGTCTATGGCTCTTAATATATTTTGTTTCATATCCTGCATAGTTTTCTGGTAAGGAAGGATACATATTTTAATTTGCACAACTAAAGCATATAACCAGCTTTCAGTGGAATTGGAGCAAAATTCCCTTTCTTTGGGCCTTAACTTTGTAGCTAGGGGTAAAAATGGCTTGTTGATGGAGTCAACAAAGGGAAGATCCACCTTTTAAAATAAATTGAGGCACATTGCAGGCGAGTTATTGGCAAACTATATTTAGTATTTCACACAAAAATAACTTCACAGTATACCTTTTAATAATAGTCTTCCTGTAGCTCATGTCATTTTCAGTTATAGTTTTGTTTTGTGTTAAATTCTCCATATTTTAGTTATCTGGAGCTTTGGAAAATGCAAAAGCTGAGATCCAAAGAATGCAGCATGAAAAAGAGCACTTTGAAGATTCCATGAAAAAAGCTTTCATGAGGGGAGTGTGTGCATTAAATCTCGAAGCCATGACTATATTCCAAAACAGAAATGATGCAGGTAAGTATCTTCTTCCAAGATTCTCTGCCTGTTTTCAAAACAGGTTTGCACACATTTGCTCTCACGAGTGGTCCCTGAGGCTCAGAGGCTATCTGTCATGAAGTGTCCGGATGGAATGTTGCTCACAGAAGTTCAAGGTGACCACATTAAGTCAGGCTAGCCAACGGTCCATCTGTCCGTCTCCTCACTTCCTGCTTTTGTTCAGCTCATCACAGTTCTCTCCACTTCTCTGTCTTTTCCTCGGAAGCTCAGGCTTCCCGGAGTATCATCCGTATCTGTTTCATTTGGTCTCATCCCTGTTCGCCATGGATGTTTTCAGCTTCATGGTGTCATTCAGTTTTAAATCTGGCGTGTAACTTTGTCATGGTTGGTTACCTTATCTTAAATATGATTTATTTAAGCTCCTACTAAACTAATGCTTTTAACATGAAAGGTCATTAAGGCCCCTTTAGCTTATACTTTTAGTGCCCTTAGTGCAAAAGCCATTCCTTTGTCTCGCATAGCTAGTGTTAGTAGTTACACATATCTTTTCCTGCCGTAGAGTCCCGTTTTACAAACCAGGCCTTCTAAGTCTGTGTGTAAGAGTAGTGCCAACTAAACCTCATTTCACCAGCTGTATGCATAGCCTTCTCCAAAGAAGTCAAGTGAAATCATCCGTTTCAAAGACAGTGCATGAGAGCTGAGTGGTTTGCATAGTACTTTAATCAGCATGCCGCGACCCTTTCAGGCAGTTCTTCATGTTGTGGTGACCCCACAAACCATAAATTATTTTCGTTGCTACTTTATAACTGTAATTTTGCTGCTGTTATGAATCAGGCAACCCCTGTGGAAGGGTCGTTCAACCCCCAAAGGAGTCGCGACCCACAGGTTGAGAACCGCAGGTTTAGAAGAACACAAACTAGAACCCTTTGCCACCGATGGAAATTGGGGTCTGTTTTCTTCATTGCACTTTCGTGTACATCGCCGAGTAACCAAAACCAAAGCTGACTGTCATCTCGTCCATTCTGACTCTTAGCAACCCTGTAGTGGAACTGTCCCTGTGGGTTTCCGAGGCTGTATAGCTTTCTGACCTTTCTCTTGCAAAGCAGCTAGTAGGTTCAAACTACTGGCCTTCTGATGGGCAGATCTACCCTAACTCCCTGTGCTTCCAGGGCTTCTGGATTGTAAATCAGAGACTTCTATAATGTAGGATGGAGACAGTGATTGTAGCATGGGACTTGGACAACAATTGTGAGGGTGGCACAGGATGGCACAGTGTTTCCTTCTATTGTACATAGAGTCACCATGAGTCAGTACTGACTTGATGGCATATAACAGCAATAGGAAGAAGGCAAAATAACAATTAAAAATAACCTTTTAATAATATGGCCACCAATTTTTTTAAACAATAAAATTTTTAGACACGATAGAAAATTCTTTGAAACTAAAACAAAGTTACCTTAGCTAAAGTGAGAATAATTATTCAGCTTTATATTTATCTAACAGAAAAGTGTTAAATCAGACCACATTAAGGCTAGGCGATCACTTATATTCCAAGGTATCCCAGTATCAGGCCTAATTTTTGTAATGGTTCTACTGTGCCCCATCTAATAAATATGACGTATCTGCCACCAATCTGAAAGGGGCAGAACATCTTTCTGTCAAAAACAAACTAAGATTCATTTGTGTGTATATGATTGTAAAAATGGTGATTTCACATTGAAATAGTACTTTCATCAGAAGATATAAAAATCCTTTGCACAGAAATTCTCTTTAATCTTATTAAGAAGGTAATTACTTATTTTACATTCAGTTTGTCTTAGGGAATAACTTTTAAATGCCCAAATTTCTGGATAGAAATAAGACAACATAGAAAACCACTTAAGCATCGGGCTGCTTAATGCCCTCCATTCCGCTATTGTGAGGTACCTCAGTGAGCTGAATTTTCAAGTCTTCACCCTCGTGTTTTGTGCCACATAACTATGGCTGCTAGTGGAGCGCAACCAAATTCTGAGACTGAAAAACGATCTAAAGGCGGAAGAAACTTTTTAAAATCATTTCATTGGAGGCTCTTACATCTCTTATAACAGTCAGTTATACAACTGATACAACATCAGTTGTATCAAGCGTATTTGTACATATGTTGCCATCATCATTTCCAAAACATTTTCTACTGTGTGTTAGTCTGGGTAGACTAGAGAAGCAAATCCATGGACACACATATGTGTAGAAGAGATTTATATACAATAGCAATCGAACATTGAGAAAATATCCCAGCCCAGTCCAGATCAAGTCCATAAGTCCGATATTAGCCAATATGTCCGATACTAATCTATAAAGCCCTCTTCAGACTCACGAAACACATGCAATGAGGCCGAATGTAGAAGATCCCAGGCCAGTGGGTAGAAAGTCTTTGGATCCAGTGTCATTGGAAACATCTCAACGCTGGCAGGGGTCTCTGCATGTCTTCTCCAGCACCCAGGGCTGCATCAGGGTGGGTCCATGTGTCTTGTCAGCTGCTATGTCTCCCAGGGTGTGTAGTGAGAGTCTCTCCTGCCTCCATGGAGGAAATATCAGATTTCCCATAATTCTCAGGAGAAGGCCATGCCCACACAGAGACCTCAATTGCCTATGATCCAATTGACAGGCCAGACTCCACCCCTACATTCTCAATCCTCAAATTGGCAAATGATTATGTAACTACCACGTACTTGAACCCTTGTATAAGCTCTTTTTCCCCTCCTTCCCACCCTCGTGAATCCTTAATCAATTATATATTGTTATTATTTTGTATCTTATGCTGTCCGTTTTCTCCTTTCAGCCACATTTCTGTTATTCATGCCCTTGGGGGTGGGGGGGAGCTATATAGCCAACCTTGTGATGGGTTCCCCCTTCCCCCTCCCCAACCATCCCCTTACCCTCTACTCCCACTACTGTTCCCGAGGGGGTTATCTGTCCTGAATTCCATGTGTCAAGGGCTCTTCTCTGTACCGATGTGTGTTCTCCAGTCTAGCCAGATTTTTAAGGTAGAA